TGTGAGTGAGTGAGTCTTCAGCTGATTCCACACTCCAGCCTTTTAGCTTCTCCAGTGGAGCAGAGATAAGCAGATCCTGCCGAGTCTTGTCCAAAATGAGATCCATGAGCAAAATAAATGATGTTGTTTTGACTCACTAAGTTCAGGGGTGCTTAGTTACACAGCAGTAGATAAGTGGAACACATATGTTAATTTGCAGGTGGGGACTTCCTCAATCCCATTCTGTTTTTATATATTGCAAGTATTATTCAAAATGTCTGGCCTTTCATGTTATCCTTCCCTGCTTCATATTGATAAAGGCATTCTCCTATTTTTATGGTTCCTTGTTCATTTCATTAGAATTGTAGATGAAGAGAAGATAAAAATGTGGCTTCAAATTGCCACCTTGAACAGAAACTTGTGATTTAGTTCCCAATTAAGATACTATGTTATTTCTACAAAATCCCATTCTTTATTTACATGCAAGTTTCCATTAGTTTGTCAGATCAGCTATTGTCATTTAGGAAGGCCCAGCCCTTTTCTTCTGGCCCAGTATCTGTGTACAGATGACATTGATTTATAATTTAGGGGAATTTCTAGGTGTTCAACTGCTCGATCAGTAAGATAAGCTACTTCTAAATGTTACTAATCTATCAAGGCAGCTTGGCACAAAATAACCAGAGCAGAGTGCTATCTAGGGAAAAGCAAGAATAATAATGCCCTCCTAATTTCATGGGGAATCAACAATTCTAAAATCACCAGGATTTGTAAACAGAATGTCAGAATCAAAAAGATTAAAATTCCTAAAAAAAATTTACAATTTTGTTAAACAGGGAATGAAAATCATTGATTATCTTCCATCTGGGTTGACAGATGATTTCAAGTGTTTGAAATATTTCTGAGCATGCTGCATGTTCACAGAGTGATTTTCACTGCCATCTCCTCTTAGTCGGTTTTCAGAAGTTGAGCCTGAAACATTCTTTGCCTCATTTTGACTGGCACTTCTTTCTTGTGTTCCCCCTTTTAATGAAACATCTGAACAGGATGCAGACCATTTAAGTCTTTGGGGGAAATACACTCTCAATTGTTAAGAGGAGGGGCTGGGTGCCAAACAGAATTACTTGGCAGGATGGAAGGGCACAGCCTTTGAGGCTGACCTTGGTATTTGATCTTGGCACTGCCACTTACTGGCTTGCGATCTAGAGTATGCTACCTTCTTGGAGTGTCAGTTTCTTTATCTGAAAAATAGGCATGGTCACATGTGTTAGTTTCCTAGGGCTGCCATAACAAAGTCCCACAGGCTGGGTGGCTTAAACAACAGAAATTTATTGTTTCACAGTTCTGGAGGCAAGAAGTCCAAGATCAAGGTGTTGGCAGGGTTGTTTTCTTCTGAAGCGTCTCTCTAAAGCTTGTAGAAGGCTGTCTTTTCCCTGTGTCTTCACCTGGTCTTCCTTTTATGTGTCTGTGTCCTCATTTCCTCTTCTTATAAGGACACCAGTCATATTGGATTAGGTCCTGGTCTAATGACCTAATTTTAACCTATAACTTCCTTAAAGACCCAAATGCAATTGCATTCTGAAGTACTAGGGGTTAGGGCTTCGACATATAAACATGGTGGGGTAGGGGCATGGTGAGCACTTCAGCCCGTAACACAACCCATCCTGAGATATTGTAGATAAAGTACCAGGTATACAATAAAGATGTTCAAAAGGTTAGCTCTTTTTCTTCCTCCTCTCAATTTCAGATTCCTTTGTCCTTGGTTGTAGAAAGGAATGTATTTCCTTTACTCTCAATCTAATCTTTCCTCCTTTCCTTTCCAAGAATTTTTTTTATGAGAAATCATGGGAAGATGATCTGTCTTAATATTTCCCCTTTTCAAAGACCCTACTTCATTCTTCTCAAATGGAATTCCAAACATTTTTCCTCTTCTCTTCTGGAATGTGGATGTGATGACTGGAATGGCAACAGTCACCCTGAGACCAGGAGATGACCTTGAGGTTGAAAACCCCATATAAGGCGAAGGGGTGAAAATATTAATATCGAAGACAACTAGTACGGGGATGACAGCTTATAGGTGCCTGCCAGCCGTGGACTGCCCACTGCAGGGCTTCCTGTTACATGAAAGAAAAAAAAAAATTCCCTATATTATTTGTACCATTGATATTTTAGCCAGAATTAATGAATTAATGTAGAATTTGAGTTCAATGGTCACATTTAAGGTGCCTTTAAACAAACTAATTTAACATGTTTAAAAATAAATTGACTTCATGTCCTTCCAAGCTTATATTCCACGTCTCATGGTTGACTGCAGTAAGAGCACCACTGTGAGCACATGTGCGTTCCAGGAAGTAGCAGAGGGAGGGGGCGGCAGAGCTGAGCACACAGGCTGTTGCTAGGAGACAGAGTCAGATCACTAGGCTGGAGATGGACCATGCACAGCCTTGTAATTCATTGTAACAATTTGGAAATTATTCAAGTGAAATGGACCTCCGTGCTCTGATTTGCATTTTTAAAATTTTGGTGTCGTTTAAAGAAAGGATTGTAGGAGTGGAAGCAAGTATAGAGGTAGAAAGATCATTTAGGAGACAATCCCATTAGTTAAGGCAGGAGGAAGTGGTGACTGGGAGTTAAGGGGGTGGCAGTCACAGTGCAGAGGGGAGGAAGTAGTGCAATTTAAGTTGCATCTTGGAAGTAGCACCAACAGAATGTGTTGATTGTTTGGAGGAGTCGAGGATGACATGCAATTATCTCATTTTAATAACTGAGCAGATGGGTGATGCTATTTAAGGAGATAGGGAATGTAGAAGGAGGGCTGGGTATTTTGGGGAGAGGGAGATGGGGCTTAGCGGTCTGCTTTGGGTATGCAAAGTTTGAGATGCTCAAGATAGGCAAGTGCCAATATCAAATAGGCAGTCGGCTGTATGAGTGTAAGCATCAGGGGAGGGGTCAAGTCAGAGGCATACATTTTGTGCATCATTGGCATTAAGATAGCATCAAGCCATGGGCTTGGAGGAGATCACCTAAGGAAATAAATACGTACGGAGAAGATGTTCTAAACTGAACCCCGAGGAGCTCTCTTCTTTAAAAGGTGGGTGGTGAAGGAAGCTTCAGCAAAGTAGCCCGATAAACAGTGGCCACTGAGGTAAGAGGATAAGCAAGACTGGGGTGTCCTGGAAGCCAGGAAAGATACAGAGGGAGTGGTTACACATGTGCAATACTGTTCATGGGACTTGGCCAGAGGGAGGTCATCTCTGAGGTTGACAAGAAGGGTTGATTCAGTGAGTAGAGAGTAGGGAGGAAGTGAAGGAAGCATGTGGAGATAGCTCTTGAGTTTCCCTGTAGAGGGAAGAAGAGGTGTGGAGTGGTAGCCAGACTGAGAGGTGAGGTCAAAAAAGGATTCACACATTTGGAAAATACTGAGCATATTTGTGTTCAGTGGAGAGAGAGATTGATGATATATGAGACAGAGAATAACTGAATGAAGGAAATCCCCAAAGAGTTGAGGCACAGTGTAAGATGCAGAACATAAGTAACTCTGATGCAGCAGAGATAGTCTAAAAAAAAAAAAATCCTATTGCAAACAATGCTGCAAAGATCATCTCTTTATATCAATATTTCCTCACATTTTTCCTAAATGTCCAAGGTCAAGGCCATGGACAGTTTCTAAGGCTCTTGACACATTTGTAAAGTTACGTTCAGAAACATGATATCAATTAACATAACCTCATTTTATCTTACATTCTTTCAAATACTTAAAAATATTTTTTAGTCATTATAATTTTCCTTTTGTGAATGGTCTGCCATTGTCTTTTTTATATTTTAAAAATTGGGACATAGATGATTTTTAAAATGTATATATGTTTTTATACACCATATTAATAATTGTTGCCTTTGCTATATTTGTGACATACCTATTTTACAGTTTGCTTTTTGTAAAGTATGTTTTCAAGATGTTTTTCTATCAATTTTTCCTTCGTGATTCTTTTTGTTGATTTTATTCTTAGAAAGCAATTTTTTTTCTCTCAAGAAACAATACAAAGAATGATTTTGAGAGCTCACAGGAGTGCTGTGAGCTGGATTGCACTGTCACCCAGGACTATGAACACATGGCTCAGAAATGGAGCAGTTCACCTAACCCCATTGCGTTTGCAGCTCCAGGAAATGAAACATTCCCAGAGAAAGAAAATGGATTCATATTTCATGTCTGCTAAACAGCAAACAACAAAATTCAAATAATCTACATCAAAACAGTTGGCCAGAGAAACCTTCACAAATGAAATTTTTGCAATGTCAGTAGCTAAGCCAAGTAACAACCAACCCACATCATAAGGCTCCAAAATGCTGCATCAAGTTACCGGCTTTCTGTGTAAACTTGCTTTGCAGTTGTTTATCTGATGAAATATTCCTTTGTTTCATCCAGAGAAACTTCTCGTCTGTGATCATTAACTAACCTCCATCCTCCGTCCCTCCCTCCCTTCCTTTTTTCTCTTCGGTATGCAGCATAGCAAGTTATGATGGCTCCACAGTTATTATGGTAGGAAAATTAGGAGTCTCTAGTCTCTGCACTGTAACATACGTACAAGAATAAAACACGACTGGGCATGGGCACTCATGTCTCCCCACTGTGTGGAGTGGGGCTCATCCAGAGGAACAATTACTACCTTGATGCCCAGAAGAACATTTAGGGCCCTCCTGGTATGACTAACAGTAAAAGCCACATTTCAAAAGATTTCTTCTAAGGTCTTCTCAACTGCTATTTCCTCCTCTCTCTCTCACTTTCTTGATGTTTCCTCCTCTTTTCTATCTGGTACTATGCTTGACCTGGGCAAGATGGCTTTTGTCCTGGACCCACTATTCAGAGGATCTGCTCTTGTTTTCCTTACCCTCCCCGTGGCTTGAAGAATCCATGGGACAAGGAAGTGTGACCATCTAGAGTCTACTCCCTTTGAGATCATGCTCCAAGAAATTGAGACTCCAGAATTCCCTGCCCTATAAGCCCTGAGTCTATATCCAGAGCCTACCTGGGCATCTTCCCTGCCTCCAGCCTCTGCTGCTAGGAGACTCCTCCTAGGTCTGCAAGGGGTATGCATGGAGCTGGCACTTGTGAGCTGGTGTGTCCACGCGTGCGAATGAAGCCCTCATGCCCTGGGGACTGAGCCACAGTGGGAAGAGAAAGGGAGCAGGCTGTGGGCCTTTCATTATTCATTCTAGAACCCCGAGGAATCAGGAATTCTAAACTTACCAACCCTGGGCTTCTGGTTTGCCATGATGATATATTTGTCAAGATCGAAGGATATTACATAGTTTACTTAATGGTCTGTTCACTTAGTGTTCAATGGGTTTATAAATTTTAAATGTCTAGATACATATTCCATGGGTCTCCATTTATCCTTTTGCCCCTGGTCCTGCAAATGTTGGGGTGGGTCTGCCCGTGTCCACTCCTCCATCTATGTTCTTTTTTCTGTTTCCCTTCCCTTTTCATCTAGTTTCTTTTCTCCTCTGAGCTGCGGACCTCATGGGGATTTCCTGTCTGGTTCTGCCCTTCAGGACCAGTGGAGCTGTCTTCCTCTCTGCTTCCTCACCTGTCGGGATCATTCTTACAAGTTTGAGAATCCTGTACATAATGATGGCTATTTCTGACAAACAGAAACCTCTACATGGCACTGAAAAACCTAATTAATAAATGAGCAGATGAAAACAGAAGCTGAACACCACTCACATAGGCTCAGGTGTGTTCCTCTCGTACATTTGTCCTACCCCATAGCCTGTCCTTCCTTTCTTAGATCATTGGGGGTGGGTGCTAGTTGGGACATGGGGACAGACACACCTGTTTAGCCACACCTGGGTTTCCTTAACTTTCAGAAGGGTTTTCTTCATTCCCACTGCCAGGGTTTCTACAGGCCAGAAGTACTCAAGCTTTGGCCTGCATCCGAATCACCTGGAGGGCTTTTTCAAACACTGGGCCCAACCCTCAGAGTTTGTGAATCAGTGGGTAAGAATGGGGTGGGGCCCTAGAATTTGCATTTATAATGTTTCCCGGGTAATGGCTGCTGTTACTGGTCCAGGGCATGCTCTGGGAACCACTGCTATAGGTCATTAGGATTTATTAGATTTCCCTTGTTTGAATCTCTGTTGCTAACATAAAATCACTTTCAACTTGCGATCCATCAGCAGACTTTGACTGAGCTCAGAACATAGCCCAGAGGCAAAAAAAAAAAAAAAAATGACTTGGGACTCCAAGTCCCATATGCCCCCTGCACAGTGGACAGGCAGGCTGCTTAGTTAGCAAGAGCAAGGGGGTCCTCCCACAGAAGCAACTTGAGCCTCGACTTGGCACACTGTGAAGCAGCCTTGGCCATACGCTACCCTGCAAGCTCCTCTTTAATTGCAGAAATCTGGGTGGCCTTCACACACGTTGTTTGTATAGCAAAGGAACAGAGACAAGCTCAGTAACCTTGGAAGACCAATCTCTTTTTTCCCAGCCTCCAGAGAAGCAATGCCCAGAGGAACAAACAATGTGTGTGGGAAACCAGACAGGGGCTCTGGAGGGTGCACTGGAGAGGCAAGAAAGGTGGGTAAATGTCTCCTGGTCTCCCTGAAACTGCGTCCTGCTGCGTGAGAGTTCATTAGCTGGAATTCCATGAGTGATAACAGTCTAAATCTCCGTAGCTAGACTCGAGCCATGATTCTTCCTACCAGGCTATAATCACACAGAAAAACAATCTTGGCTCCAACTGCTGGGTTATAGCAGCCGGTCCAAAAAATGACTTTCAAATTGAACCTCTTAGGGATTTGCATCTGATAAAGAAAAGGAATTCTCTTCCCTGTCAACAACTAACCACACCGGCTTCAGGGCACTGACTCACGCACTGTAAGCTCAGACACCAGCTGGTGTGCCCAGGATCTTGTCTCAATTTGCCTACTTTCTCTCGTGCAAATCCATAGCCCAATCATCGCTTCCATTTTCCGACCGCACCTTTTCCAAATGACTTTAATTGTGAGTTGCTCTGAGTCTACCTTGGATCTGTCATGCTGAGAGCATCCCCTGCAATGAGACAGTTTCGGTTTCATAATAACAATAATAACAATGACAGGTGCTACTCGTTGACGTGAACTCTGCATCAGGACCCATGCCAAGCACTCTTCATACATGATCTAATAAAATCTTCATAATAATTCTAGGAAATAGAGTTTATTTTCCCCCATCTACAGGGAACCAAGGGTCAGGAGTTAAACAACTTTCCCAAGATCATGCAGCCAATGACACGCAGAGCCTTGGTGGAAACCCAAACTTGTGCCAACGCCCATGCTCTCATAGTTTGTACTTGCTAAGTGTTTATTAATTTAAGTCAATCAATGTATCTACACATGCATAAAAGAAAATTTCAGAGGCAGGTTTTAACTTCCTAAATTATTTAGACACAGGAAACTCACTTAACCAAGCACTCAATTTTCCAGGCAACTCAGTTAACTGAATTGTTATAGTACGGTCAATACTCAATCAATACTCAATTACTTGCATTATAGAAGATAGCATGAGTGGAGATGGAAATTATGAATAATCAATATAGCTATGTTTGTGATGAGCCTTTGCTGTCTAGCACATGGAAACTGGGTATAAAGAAAGTGACAGCCTACCTGAGGGTTGTAGCAGCTTGGAGCAAAAGCCCTCTATTTATAGGAGTGCCTGTGGTTCTCACATTTCTTCAGCTTGTCTACCAAGACATACCAGGTTGCATGACTCCTTCACTTCTTCCCAGAGCAAAGTCTTAACATCATCTCATTGGCTTACTTTGGGATTGTGTATGTATGTATGTGCACGGGCAGAAGAATGTGTCTGTGATGAGAAGGAATGACATGTATGTGAGCACAGCACCTGCAAACTGAGTCCTTCCTGCTATCGCCAAAAATGGTACAGAAATGACCAGGTGGGGTTAGACCTCTGTTTACAGAGCATTGTGAGAGGCGAGCTGTCTTCAATGCCATGTTCAGGAGACCAGGAGCAGTCTCTAGAATATCCTAACCCACCACAGAGCTTCATTTCTTGCAGTTTTCTAAAGCCTTCCCAAATATATAGTTTTAACCTGTAATAGTGTTAGGGGGGACAATCATTCTATGAGTTTACCTCTAACTTTTCTTTGTTAAAATTCACTTTGGATAAGTCTTTCAACCTTATGGAGATTCCCTGGGACAAGTATGTTTTAATAAAAAATTAGCCCTGGCTTTAGATGCAGAGTACCTAGATTTGAAACTCAGCCCTGCCACTTACGAGCCGAAGGAGACTTTCAGCCAAGATAGTGGGCTGAGCGTCCAAGGGAAAGCCCCATCCCGGTCTTCATGCATAAACATACCATTTAAAAGCTTTAAACATTTTAAGAGACCTGGTTGAATTCAAAAGTAAGAAAGGGAAGCTTCGAGGATGAGAGAAAAGAGGGAAGCAGAGTGGTGAGAGGCAGTAGGGGCCACACGGCCTGCGGTGACACATAGAGTGGACGTGTGGCCTGGAGGAAGAGGTTTTATAGCCCATGTGGGAGTGGAAGTCATCTGGCCTCATGCAGCAGAGGAAGCCAGAACTGGTACTCAGGACAAAGCTGAGAACCCAAAAGCTTCTAATGAGTGGGGAGGAGATCCTCCTCCCCCTCCCTAGCCTGGCGTAGACGGGCTCCCTGCCCTAGACCATTGTAGAAACAGAGTTAATTGAGAAAGAGTCAAACCCCAATTTGTTGGCACAGGATAGGGCCAAGGGGCCTGAATTCTTGTGTTACATGTAGTGTGGAAAACTTAGAATGTAGGAACCCAGACAAACCTAAAAACCTGCCCTGGACTGGTGAACTCTGTAGGTTCCAGGACAAGGCAGCTACCGGGACACTTCTAAATAATCTCCAAAATATAAATTCCATTTTCTCTTCAGGGAAGATTTTTTATTAATTACCTGCAATAGTTAGTTTATTGTTATCTATTAAAGCAGGTAAAATAGTATGAATATGTGTGTGTTGGGTCAATTTATATCAGCCTTCCTTTTGGAATAAAGGAATAGAGGAGTGGGCTGCAGGGCCTCCTTTAGTTCTTGCTCCAAATGTTACTGAAACAACAAACAGCCTCCTAAGGCAGATAAGAAAAGACAACTTGTGTTTAGTGGCTGTGGTGGTGCCCCACCTCTTGTTTAGGGTAGGATGGGACTTTGATCTTCCCTTTAGTGTTGCTCACTGTTTACTTGCCACCCGTTTCTATGTCTGCCCCTTCCCGTTTCCATCAGCAATCAGCACAGTTTCCAGCTGGGCGCTCCCAAAGGTAGAAGGGGACTGCAGCCGCTGGAGACTAGGTCAGGGAGAAGGTGAGTCCAGAATAAAATGCTGGAGTGGCTGGAGGATGTTTCAGACAGGAAACTTCTGGTTTCTGGGAACAGAAGCCCCTTCAAAGCAGCTCTAGTAAATAGGGAGTTTATTGTCAGGTCTCAAAGGGATCCCATAGAAACGCATATATGGGAAGGACAGGCAGGCCTCTTGGGAACTGAAAAATCACTGGGAGAGTCCATTTCTTTACCTTTTTCCCACATGCTCACTTTACCTTTTTCCCACATGCTCATCTTTCTTTACCCGCAGACCTTCCTGGCTTACTCATCTAATTGCGGGTGGCTTCCATGGCCCCCAGCAAATAGATGTCCTTTCCCCTGGATCTACGCGACCTTCCATTTCCCCTCCCCAGAGCTAACCAACCCAGTCTCTGGGTCCCAATCCAAGTCCCTGGAATAGTAAATCTGATTGACTTTGCTTGGATCAAGTGTTTGCCTTGCTCCAATACTGTGTCTAGGATTAAGAAAAAGAGTTGAGAAGATGAGAGTGGGGAGGAGAAATTTCAAGGTGTGTATAAGTTGGACAATCTCTTTATAGAATTGTGGGTGTGGAGAAAATTTCAAGTACAGATAGAAAGATGTAAGGTCAGGATGTGCTCCAGACCAACTGGGGTATAAATCAAAGTCATGCCTCCATTCCAATCCAATGTGGCTGGCCTTTCAACGAGCCCAGCTGGCCTGGGAGTCTGCTTCTCCGATAAGTTTTCGTATTGAGTGATGAACCACTGGGAATAGACTGAGAAGGACAAAGTCTTTGGAATGACCCTATCAGTAACCTATTGTCAGATGGTCACCACATCAAGGACCCTTTCTCTTCCAAGAAAGCA